AAGATTCTCTCTTTCTCAGAAAAACAAGCAAGCTTGCTTGAATGCCACATTTGTGCATGAGGGTAAAGTAGTGCATGGCTGTTGTGTGTGCTTCTGTTTTTTGTTTTTTTACGTTTACTTTATTAAAGACACAGCAAGAACGCAGACACAACAATGCTTGCAAGGCAACAGGCAGAGAGTCATATTCAACATATCTGTGAATTGGGGGGGTGCAAGGTTGAGCAATAGGGCAATATGGAAAGCGATCAATATCAACCCTTTAAATTCTCTGCAACGTCGCACCTAAAACAACTCTGAATGGTGAAGGAGAAAGAAGCTGGGTGGGGGAGTTGGGGGCAGGTGGGAGACTTAATGCACATTTAATATTTTGGACGTAACGTTCCAGCGAAATGCCTTTGTGTGGATTTTTTTTTCTCCCTAGCACTTGCTAAAAATAGCATCAGGGTTTTGATCGCGTTCCAGAAATAGACAGAGAGTTGCACTTGTATATAAACGCCAGCGCGGGTGGAAGAAAACCTGGACATCACCGCAGTATATTTTTCCCAACTACTGTCTGGAAATTAATTGTTGGATTTTCCCCTCTCTCTGTCTGTACGTTCCCCCCCCCCCCCGCTCGCTCCTACCACCACCACTTTCCCTTCACTCCCTACCCCCAACTCTCTTCCCCTCCCATTCCTACCAAAGGAGTTCCCGTTTGGGTAAGTAGTAATATTTCTTGTGCATGCCGCAGAGAGAGTGACGGTGAATCTTGCCTTTATTTTATGCATGCTTGGGTTTATTTTGTCTCTCTTGCTATTTTTATATTAAAGGGGGAGGGTGGAGGAAGAGGGAGGGGAGAGTGGAACATACTCGTCTGCTTAACGAATTTGGTGCATGCACGGAACCCAGACACAGGGAATTCTTGCAGAAAGGGGAATCACCCTGTCGGTAAATCTCTGAATCAATAGCAAGCTGCAACTCTCTCTCTCCCTCTCTGTCGGCGCTATTGAGTCCCTCTTTCTCGAGCTCTCAGTCTTTTTTTCCCCGGAAGGGTGGCTAGACGCAATCTAATGGCAAGGCTCCTGTGTAGCTTGAGAGAGACGGAGACCGAGACGGAGCGAGAGAGAGAGATTCTCTCTGTAGATTGCATAAAGGGAACATGGAATATGCTGACACTATCAATTTGCTCTTCCTCGCGCTCTGCTAAGAAGCCACCCAAGCGGCGCTTGCTGGGAGCTGTCCGTGGATACGGGTGCTGAAACAGCAGCCCATTCTGCTTGTGGCTCTTTGCCTCTGCAGAAGCTCGACCTTGTTACCTTGCTCTCGCTTAGGTCACCCTCACTGCACGTATGCCAGGGGAGGCGGACAGGTGGGTGGGTGAGGGGCTACGGTGAGATGGTGGGAGACAGAAGTTGTTCGTTAAATGCTGGACGCTTCCCATCTAAGTCAGGTTTTCCCATCGGGTGCGTAAAAGCGCCGCTCTGGTTAGACTTGCCTGCCCCTTTCCCGCCCGTGCGTTTGAAATAGCCCGCACCTGATGATGGTGCCTCTCAAAAGAACAGTCTATAGGTTGTTTTATTTGGACTCACCCCTTCTCCTCCCACCTCGTTTATCCCCTCCAAAATGCCCACACCTTCTGCCTATCGTGTTGTGTGTGTGTGTGTTTCTTATTGCCCTTCCTTCGCTTCCTTAGAGAGATCCTCACCAGATGAGTTGGTGGAATGACTAAAAGTGGGGTGTTGAGGATTTGTTGTGGTATGTACCGAGCAGATGCTCCATTACCTTGACGAGACAAGCATCAATCATCCTCCGGTACCTTCCTGAAGCCGGGAATGTTCTTGTTAGCCAGTGACCATGCCGATTCAGAGGCATTCTAGCTAGGCAAAAGCCATGTCATCTGAGTGCTTTGAAACAGAGACACAGCGCAACACTCACATGCATGAATCCATTTGTCTCAACAACGGGGAAAGGGTGGCTGTATTCCCAAGGGGAAGGCACTTTTAGTTGCAGCCATAAGTCAGCAAGAAGCGATTGGGGGGGATTTAAAGCGGGTAACAGTGAAGGAAGGGGATTTAAAGAAAGCAGCAGAATCAACTGTATTTATAGTGGACCTACCACACGCAAAGCTCAGCATCACTTACGATTCTTGCAGACAATGAGAGAGATGCAGTAATGACCACCGGGAGAGCATTGTAGGATGAATATAGATAAATAGGCTTGGTCACAGCAGCCTTGGCTCATATTGCATGCAATAGCTTAGACATTTCTTGCCGCTGAGACAACGCAAGCCTAAGAATCAATTGCTGAGCACACCACCCACTGATGTCCCTATGATGTATAGAGAAGCCATCCTTTTCTTGAGCTTTCGTGTCTGTATTTACAAATGGGTCGTCTGAAAACAAGCAAAGTGCTTCCAAACACTTTGACATACCGTTCCATATGGACATCAATGAATTATATACGCACACAAACTGTGAAAGTCATTACAAGCAATCCAAAAGCTGCCGGTCCTTTCCGAGTACCCACCCTCGCGTCCCCTTCCCTCAGATCTCCCTACCCTACCCTCACTTTTGCCAGATCGTCCTCGCACATCTCCTGGCACAATGCATAAGATTACCCTTAACTGGATCCTATTAAATAATTCAATGGTGGCGGTGTAATTTTGGTTGCAAACTGCACGGATTTCCAAGTCGTGACTGTAAAAGTGAGTAATGTGTGCTGGCTGCGTCATGGCTCCAGTCACAGATGGTTCCAAACTGAGGAGGAATCGTGACTTCGACTTGAGACGTCCCCTCTACATGAAAAGACCATCCAATCAAAACGGCGTCAGGGGGGCATCTGGACTCCTCCGAGGCTTGCTTGCTTGCTTTTTTGCTTCCTGATCCGCATGTGTGTGTTTCAGATACTATATATATATATATATATATATATTCACACACACACTACACACACACCTATCTGCAACAAGTTGCAGGAGGAGGAGGCCGGAGAGGAAGGGGTTAATCCTGGGAAAATTTTCTGCACTTAGCAAGATCGTGACCCTCCCACACACTACAGTAGTTTATACATGCCTGGGAGGAAGGGAAGCTTTGCCACGAGTTTCCTTTAAAAACAAAAGGGGGGGGAGAGGGGGGAAAAACCACCCCAAAACCCCACACACGCACAGGCACACATACTCTGGGGGAGATGCTGCTTCCTGCACCTCCAAGCAAGGATCCTATCCTACTCCATGGCTGCTTGAGCGCCTGGCAAGCAAGGTAAGTGAAGGGGGGAAAGGGGAGGGGGCTTACAACTTTGTTGTCCTTCCTCCGCTCCTCGCTCCCCATGTCTGCGAGAGGTGCCAGTCTCAAGCAAAGCAAGTTGGGAGCGAATCCGTAGCAGCAACAGCAGTACTTGAAGGGAAAGAGGAAGCAGGTAGGGCTCAGTAGGAGCTTGCATCTCGACGAGGCTGCGCTGCTGCTGCTGCTGCTGCTGCTGCTGCTGCTGCTGCTGCTGCTGCTGCTGCCGGAGGGCTGGTGATGCTGCTGCTGCTACTGCTGCTGCTGCCGCCGCTGCTTCTCGGGGTGGATTTGCTTGGGGGGAAAGGCAGCGGAGAAGGTAGGGACTTTTGGATCTCCCAGTAGGAACTCCTGTGCTCTTGAGGCGTCATTGTAGCTGCGGGGTGCAGGCAACCAGGAAGGGAACTTCCAAGTTCTTGGGCTGACTCGTGTTGACTCTCGGTAGAGGAGGATGCCTTCTTCTCGAACTTTGCCTAGGGAACTCCGTGGCAAAGTGGCCACTCTCGAGCTGCGGCAGAGGAGAAGCACCTTCGCCAGGCTTCCCATTCCCAGAAGACCTGTGGAGTTAGTTCAGTGTCGTGCTCTCGCAACTTTTAGCTGGGGAGGCGTTTCTTTCCCCCTCCACCCGCCACCCCCGTCCCCCAGTCTGTCTGCGGGTGTTGAGCAGAGGCTCAGAGGAGGCACTGCGGGGCAAATTCAATGGGACTCTCGCCCCCAGTGCTCCAACAACCTTCCTAGTCATCCCAACGCAGTTGGATCTCACTATGAGTTATCCAGCCGATGGATCAGCGATGGCCACTGCTTGACCTCCCCCAGTGGGCATTTCCTTGGGTGGCACGACTTGGTGACTGAAGGGATCAGGCGGATCTGAACTTTTGACTTGTGGCTTCTTGCGCCCACATGGCGCACAACCAGGTCCTTGGGGTAAGTGTTTTGTTTGTGCTGTGTTGTGAAGCCTAACTGCTCGGTTTGATGCCTTGCAGGCTGTTTGCAAGTGCCTTCTCAAACCCCTGCTCCTACCCTCCAACCCTCCCCATCTCCAACCCCGGGGCAGACAGCAAGGATAAGTCTAGCAGGCATAGCAACACTATGGAGCGTGGTCTTGTCTAGGGTTTGTTGAATAATTAGAAATGGAAATGTTTCTTTCTCTCGCTCTTCCCCCTCCCCTTTTCCTGGGGAGGGGGAAGAGGGAGAGGGAGAGAAATGTGAGGCTCCTCCTGATTGGCGAATGACGATTTTAGCCCGCACCAATGAACGGCCGGCCTCGTCTCTATTTATTTAGTGCTCAGGGGGAGAGTTTTCTCTTTACGCAGCGTCCGTGCACAGCGCTAGACCCTCTGCTCGGGAGCAGAACGATGGAGGGGTGTGGGGGAAGCGCATTCCCAACTCTGCCTTGCTCACAGAGCCCCCTGATTCTGCAAGCCCCTGCTCCCGGCCCCTTCGCGGGGAGGGGGAAGGCGGTGGAGCGGGGGCTGGATGTGAAGGGCTGGGCCAAGGGAAACCCCCCCTTCCCCTTCCCCACCTCCTAGACTCTCCTGAGTTGGATCTCTCGGTTTGGGCTTGCAGAGGGACTCGGTGGGGATGGAGCGTGTGTGAGTGAATGGACGATGGGGCGGATGGTGTGATCCCGATAGTGTCTGGGAAAGCAGCCGTCGGCCGTCTTGGGGTGCCTTGGATATTTGAATTTTTTCCCCCGTTTTGGTGGCAGCCGGATGGATGGATGTAGGAAGCCACGGGAGACTTTGTCCTTCGCGAATCTTTTTGCGGTCTGGGCTTGCTGTATATAACTACCTAGCCGGGAAGCCCTTACCCCAAAAAGCATTCGCGGAGGGCGCTTTCGCCGAAGGAGCAGCAGCGCGACCGCCGAGCCTCGGACTTATCTAGATTTTCTGGGCTCCCCCCCCCCACCGCCGCCTCTCCTTTCCCTTTTCCTCTGTAACCCCACGACCCCCTTCTCCCCCACCCAGCGTGTGTGTCTCGAGAGAATTAAACTCCCCCCACCCTCGTCCCCACTCCCACGATCCTTTCGTAGCTTAACTTTCTTAATCGACTTCTGCTTGCTCTTTTCCGTGGATGATTTCATGCTACTGCCTTTTTTTCTTTTTTAAAGAAAACCTTCACAGAATAAAATACAATAAAACTTTCTCAAAAGTTCAGAGGACGCCCCCTCCCACGCCAGAAGGGTGTGTGATGTGTCCCATCCTCCTCCATCCCACCAGGGATGGAGTTGGATGTGTAAGTCCTCCACTGAATTGAGAGACAAGTGTCGACAAGTCTCTCTTTAAGATGGGGAGGGTGAGGGAGGTTTCTATCGATTTCAGAGTGGGTGGGACACTGGGGGATCACCCCATAAATAGCAGGGAGGGGGGAGTCACAAATCGGCCCCGATTTAAGGGGAGACTCCTGTCATCAGGCGATGCCTCCATTCCCCACCCCCATCACTTTCAACCTCCTTTTAGGTAACTTCCAGTCCTCCGATTCCCGAGGTCTCCCGTTTTCCAACTCCAAATGGCCCCGATCGGGGTAAAAAAGGCCAGATCCGGGGGGAAACCCGGCCGAGGCGTTGCTTTTGGACGAGGTGATTGGTAGCGAGCGAAGCCGCCTCAGCCCAGCTGTCTAGCACTATTGAAACTGCCTCGCCTTTTCCTTAGCCATGCACATAGCGCCGAGGAGAGTTAGAGGCAGCCTGCATTGCTTTGCCTTTCCCCTTTTGCTGTAATTAGCAAGTCGGATTTCGTGGGCAGGAGAAAGAAGGGGCGTTAGGTGAGGAGGAAAGGTCCCCCCCCCTCCTACGAAGACAAATGCACCTCGGCCCGGACAGACCAGACGAGGGGCGAACAGCAAGTTGCCCGTGCAATGAATGCCCGGTTGTCGCAATCTCGGGGCCTATTGGGTGCAAAAGCCTCTTTGGAAGGAGGAGGAGGAGGAGGAGGAAGGGTGGGAAACCCAAGAAGGATCCTTCTCCAACTCTTGACAACTCTCAGGGATCCCCACCCCCCACCCCTCCTAGCCAACACACAGAGAAAGTGCTCAACTCCGGAAGGAGCGTCTCTTGCTTGGGAGAGAAGGCTGCAGTGGAGACACTGAGGGCGAGGGACACAGCCGAGGCTGAGGGCTGCTGTTTCTCCAGAGATAAAAGGGGGTTTGACAGGCTGGTGGTGTTGCAGAAAAGAGTAAAAGTCTGCCCAGTTGCTGAGCTGGGATGCAGGGCAAAAGCAAAGGAGCGCCTCGGGTTTCTTCCCTACCTTTTCTCCCCTTCCCCACCTCCTTGGCCAGGGTTGGTGGCTGGCAATGGAGCTGGATTGAGGGAGGCAGCACTAGGTGGGTCACTCCACCTCGAAAGCAACGTGCATTTGCCCAAGATCCCCGCTTTTCACCTTCTTGCACAACCACCACCACCCGAATCCCCCCTCTCTGCCCATCCTCCCAGTCTCCAGCAAGCCCTCTGAGTCTGGGGAGCATCTCTGAAGGGAAAGGCGCACACAGGGCAGAGAGGGGCGCTTGAAAGGGAGGGAAGTGCACGGATGGAGCAGCCACGACCAGAGCCTCTCCTTTGCTGTGCGTGTGTCTTGCCCATCCCTGTCGCAGGAGAATCCCAACCTAAGCAATCTGGGAGGGGAGGGGTGTCTGAGGAGGAACGCTTGGAAAAACCAAGCCACCGTGGGTTAGCTCCCTTCCTTTCGGCTCTTTGCATTGGCAGCCAACTGTTGCTACCAGTCTGGGGGAAACTGCTGTAGTTGCGGGAATCTGAGCTCCTTCTCTCACTTCCAAGCCGTGCTCTTCAATGCGGGTTAAAAGGGCAAAAGCAAACCATAGCGCCTGTCTCCCCCTTGCCTCACCACCACTACTGCGTATGACTGGTATTTTTTTATTTTTTTTTAGGCGGGAGGGGACATTTTGAGGGGGTGGCTTTCGACTAGAGGGAAGCTCCGTCAGCTCTGCTCTGCAAAACCGCGACAGGCTCCCTTGCCCGACGTGGCGGGCGACAACAGCCCTTGCACCTTCCAAATCTCAATGATTTGGGCGTGATCCACTCAGTCTGAAAGATTGTCTGCTCATTGGGGGGAGGTTGGGGGATCAATGGCGTTCTTCTCAGTGAAGGCAATGAGATCTTTCCTAAGGATCTAGAGACCACGTCTAAAACACGAGCAAGGCCTCATCCTCCGTTTCCTTCTCTCCCAATGAAAAATCCTCACGTCCTTGCAGGCAAAGGCTGCGGGCAAGCTGGGGGTACTTGCTTTCCTCCCCCTGCCCCTGCCCAGGAAAGGGGGAGGTGAATGGCTAACCTTTTTCTGTTCTGCACGCCTCGCTTTTATGCTACCTTTTCTTATTTGTGAGCAGAGATCGTTCTCGAAAGATGCAGAAAAGTTTCTATCTGTCCTCTCCAAGAAACTCCCCCACGCCACCATCCCCGAAATACTTTAAATGCCCCCACCTTTAAATTTCGAGGGCACGCTAGGAATGGCCCAAAGCCGAGACTACAGCTGTCTGAAAAGACGAGACGAGCTGCGTCAGGTGGAAGAGCCAAACCAACGCCCGTCGGAAAAGGCAAGGGATATTGTGAGAAAATGATATTTGGGAGAAAGGTTTTTTTAAAAAATCAAATGTATAGCCAGCCACTCACCTTCCCTTTCTTTCTAAAGGAGCCTTTAGCCCACTTAGCCTCCCATTTCTGCGTGCCCTCCACCCTTATCCATGCGACGTGTCTCCCAAGAAGTTTCAAGGACGTCCGATGTAAGCAGAGGCCAGATGCTCTTTCGACTGGAGGCTGTTGCGTCCCTCCCTCCCTCCCTCGCCTCTTTCCCACAGAAGCAGCCTCCGTGTCGTCCCCCCTTCCATGCAACAAGAATCCCGTTTGCCCTGGGAAGCGCTAACGTCGAGAACGCTGTGCTCCTTTGCAGGTGGTGGCCCCGTCTGTCCGGGCTGGCGGTCCGAGGGGAAGGCCTCACTCTGGAAGAGATCGGATTCCGAGGGAGAGGACGGAGAAGAGGACTCGCCTAGTTGGGAGCTGCAGGTGAGAAACACGTAAACGCACACGGAAAAGAAACCCCACAACCGCGTGAGCAGCAGGGTTAGCGCGAAAGGTCACAGCGGTCTGGAGAGACTAAACAAAAGAGGGCATAGAGACTAAACAACGCGCGCCCTTGAGATCCGTCCAGCCGACCCTGGAAACCGGTGCAGTTTCCCTTCCCTCTCTTGACCAGAGCAGAAAACAGTCGCGTCGTTTGTAGGGCCTGTAGTGCAGCGCTTTCCCAAGGCTGGGGCTGCATACGTCTTTTTGAGAAGGAAGGGAAGGGAACTCCAGGCTGAGGTAACTTGCTGGTCGATATCACTTCTTAGCGCGGGGCAGCATGTGACCATATAATTTCATAGGCGCCCTTTCAAGAAAAGGAGGAAGAAAGGTGAAGTAAAAGAGAGGCAGGCCGAGTCACGTTCTCCCCTCACCCTGCAGAAATCAAAGGGGTCTGTAAAGTTCGACTGAGATGTGATAATCTTTAGCACTGCTTCCTGTTTCATTGAAGTATAGCCGAATTTAAAAAGAATAACCCTCAGCAGAGACCTGGGTGTTCTCCCCACTCTCCCATCTTTGGCCCAAAGGAATTTCTTGCCTCTAGGCAGTTTCTAAAGGTCTTCGGCTAATGTTTGGGAGTGGGGTAGGTCAAAGGGGTTTCTCAAAGGGATTGACAACATTTTAAAAATCAGGCAGGTAAGGGAGTTTATGCAGTATTTTTCCCCCTGGTGAAATGGAAATGAAACTAGCCATTCAATTAGCTGCTAAGGCCTCTCCCTTTGAAACAGAAGATATCCAAACCAAACCCTTTCTCAGTTTCGTGTGCAACTTTAAAGCGTCAATTTCAGTACCAACAACTTGTTACATATCTGAAATAAACCCAGATTTCCCTTTGTTGTATGTAAGAAGTGCAGTTGAAGACTGTGACCCACAACTCAGATAAGACAATGAAAGACGATTCAGCCCAAGTATAGTCCTAGGACTGCAGTTTAACTGGGCTGGTATGAACGGTTTGGCTTCCCACCTCGCAATTACGTACTTATAATGCTGCTTAATGTTCTTATACTGCAGGAAGACCGTTCACATCTGGTGGAGGAGGGTTTTTTGAATGCGTTGACAAGGATGAGCAGACACATGCTCACTGGATAGGCTTAGGTTAAGGCAAGCATAAAGGGAGAAATCTCAGATATAAACTGAGTCAGCGACTGGCACCCCCACAATGGCCATAGAGCAAGCTATGATTTCATAAAATTTCAGCCAATACTAAAAATGCTGCTCATCCTTACCAGCCTAACAAATTTTAATTTGTCATCACTTAGAAAGTGGTTTGGTCCATAACGTGCAGTTCTTTTCTTTCCCATTTACCTTTTGCATTAACCCAGAGCTGTTGTGTACGGGCTGCAGACCTCTCTGGCCCACAGTTATATTGATACTTCTCAATTAAACAAATGTGATGTACTCATGGACAAGACAGCAGCCATGAAGGTTGCTGCACTAAGCGGTGCCTCCTTTATCTGCTGACCTTTATGTAGCTTCAAGTCTACCATTAAGCAGTGGTTAGAGGTGATTCACTTAAGGCAAGAAGAAAGGTCAATAGGGTTGACTTTGCCCTAGTGTTACCAAGAAGCGAATGAAGACCACAAAAACAATCTACCGTTTGTCTTAAACTCCTGAGAAGGTTGGGTTGTTGTTTATGTATGGATTCATAGGAAGGATATATCCAGGGAAGAGATTCAGGCCTGTTTTCACATTCTCTGGTGACTGAGAAATTTAAGCATTCGATTCCATCCTGTCCATCAATCTAAAATAAACAGAATGAGAAACAACAAGCTCATTATGGATTTATAAAAGTCCATAGTTGAAAAGCTCCCCCCCCCCAAAAAAATGTATTCCAGCCAGCTACGTTTTATGTCTTAAAGTAAGCGTTTTCAAGATCTCTTTCTATTAGAAGACCATTTCTGGAAGACAATTTTGGCCTGTAATTGCATAGGAAGCCATTATCCTATAATGCACACTTTTTTTGTAAGCGCGAGAATGTTCTTCAGAAAGGTGCTATTACGATTTGGTGGCATCACAGACAGGGTGCTGTTTTTTCCATTGTCTTGGGCCAAGCCATTCTTTATGCCACACATTGCTTTACAGCTCTTACATCATCCCTCATTGTGTTTTAAATAAATATTTAGGTACAGAAATGCTGGAAGGGTTCAATATCATACCATATCAGTCCTGTGCATGTCTGTTTGGAAAAATTTCCTACTGATCTGAATGAGGCGAACAATCTCAAGGACATGTGTGCAGGGCTGCAACCTTAGTATGAGACAGAAAGACGACAACCTCTCAGCCAGGAGGGGTCCTAAGGATAGGAATGGGGTGTAAAATGCAGTAAGTAAATATATTTAGTTCATCCTTCTGCCCAAGTTGGGCATAAACAGTTTTAAAGTGTTAATATACTGGGGTTTGACAACAGAAGTAATGTCTAAATAGTGAATATCATTAAAGCTGCAAACATGAACACACTCTCTAGTGAGGAAACCCCACTGGACACAGTAGAATTTACTTCTGAGTAAGCATCCATAAGATATACTGAAGGCAGCCCTGTTTAGGGAAGTTTTTCATGACTGATGTTTTAATGTATTTTTAATCTTTTGTTGAAAGCTGCCCAGGGTAGCTCGGGAAAACCAGCCAGATGGGCGGGGTATAAATAATAAATTATTATTACTATTATTATTATTATACTACAATCATAGAACTGTAGAGTTGGAAGGGTCCACAAGGGTCATGTAGTCCAGCCCCCTGCAATACATGAATCTTTTGCCCAACGTGGGGCTCGAACCCACAACCCTGAGGTTAAGAGTCTCAAGCTGTTCTGAGTGAGCTACCCAAGCTAGCAGTTTTGAGCTATTTTGTCTGTGTTTGTACTCATTGAGTCTGCATATAGGCATACCTACAAATAGGAATGGATGTGAGTCTTTCTGCTGCTGTGGAGTGAGCTCCACTACTCCAACATATCCTTCAAATGACATACACAAGGCCTCAAAATCAAATGACGATTGCCTTTTTTCCCCTTTGCCCTTTCCCCCTTTCGGTGCTTCACTCTCTTTGGTGTACCAACCCACTTTCCTTCATTTCTCCCCACCCCCTTGTGGTTTTTATCTGACAGACTGTCCATCATTTTATTTCCTTAGTTTTTGAAAACCATAACATGCTTTTGGGTTTTTCTAAAGCTTGAAAAAACTGTTCAAGAAAGCAAGTTGGCTGGGCAGACTTTGAAGCTTTGTGACTGGTCATCAGAGTTCTGTACATTCGAAGAACAAGATTCTCTTGATTTTGAGCTGGGTGGGTTGGGTGTCTCCCAAATGCAATTAAGTGTCCTTCTACAGCAGATACTCTGTTTCAAATATGCATATCAGGGAAAGATACAATGCTGTCATCATTGCCCACGAATCTTTGCATCCCAATTTGTCACAGCCCCCCTCAACCACCCATATCTTGTTCAGTTCCTATTTCTTTAGTCCAAATATTTCCTATAGGTCAGACCTAAATCATACTCTTGTTATAGGTAGGAGTTCACTAGCAATCACCTTAAAACAATCTCCATCTAGAGAGTTAAGTTTTCCCACATTGCACTCTTGTGCCCTATGTCTCACATGGAAACACATAGGCATTCATAAATTACTATTTATTATTCTTTAAATTATGGGAATTGATTGGGAGGTCATTTTGCTCTTTGGTCATTTTCAGCATCTTTGCATCCCTACTGAATAGTTAACAAAACAACTATGCATTTCTGCCTTCCTGCCCAACTCCACCAATTTCAGAAAAACCCAAAGAGTAGTAAATTTGGGGGCTGTTAAATTGCAAGTTGGCTATCTCACTTACATCCCCCCTCATCCAGTGCCGGATTTACGTATAAGCTAAACAAGCTATAGCTTAGGGCCCCACTCTCTTGGGGGTCCCCCCCCAAAAAATAAAGGAAAAAAACTGGATGTACATTTCCAAAATATAAGATAAAAAAACAAATAAAATAAAATTTGCATACAGCATCAGTGGCAAATGGCTTTAGATACCTAGAGCATATATTCAGCACAAAAAACAGCGATAATTTGTTGTTGACAAAGGACAGCTGGACATATAAAGGGCCCCATTACCTTCAGTAGCTTAGGGCCTCATCAAACCTAAATCTGGCCCCGCCCTCATCATATAAAAGCTAATTATTTTTGGTGTTTGTATGTGTGCATATTACAAATATATTTGTTGTCTATACAAAAGTGTAATTTGACAGGTTTGCAACTGCCTGTCACACAGGGACCCCCCCTGTATCAAGAGCAAAAACTGTTGCTCTCTATGTAGAGGTCACTGCATAGGTTAGGAAGGAAGTTCTAGACCCCCTCCATTTTGTTATAGCAGAATCGTGACCTGGGAGGAGTCAGAGAGGAGCTCAGGCTCCTTCCAGTAACTAATACTGCCTCCTTAGGGAAGCCCAATTGCCACTTTGTGAACGGTGGGTCTCCGTTTCCGAGCCGGTGATTCCCATCATATGGAACGTCATGCTATTCTGCTGACTCACTTGGGGAAGAGGGACGAACAAAGCTTTCTGCAAAATGAGATGAAACAACAACGACAACAAAAATCCTATTTAGCTATCACTAGCGGCATCCAACGGTTGCCAGCATTGAAAGAGGGTCTTCTGTTTCTGTTATTACTGCAAATCATCATGTTTTAAATACCGCATCTATTCTAGGGCCAGTACTGCGGAGGCCACTTACTGGTTTCCACTAACGGTCACAGATATGAGACATCTTTAAATGCAAATTTTTGCTGCAGGTAGCTTAATACCTGGCTACAGAGGGTTGGAAAATGGGCTGAGCAGATCCTAGACAAGAGACTGCAGGTCTACAAAGAAATCTTACATTGGCTTTTTATTTTACATTTTTATATGGAGACCATAGCCCTGCCTGAGAAAGAAGAGACCTAGGGCCTCTTGTGTAAATGTAACCTAGAGTAGAAGTGAGGAAATTATACAACATATTAATTAAAGGAAACAATAGGCTTGTTCCAATCCGGATAGACAGACAGACAGACAGACATATACACAGCTTGTTGATTAAATAAATATTGTTGAGATCATTTCAGTAACTTGTTTCAACTTCAGCCTCTCAAAGTTGGCTAATGCAAGGCACTCCAAAGATTGTCTTTGTAATTACTTTGAGTGAACAGTCATAAAATAGAAATTTCAGTTATATATTTTAGGGTCACTGCCCTTGCATTCTGGAAGCCTTGTTTATATATTTAATTTCATATTAATATTCTTGAAGAATATTAGCCTGGCACATCTTTGCTCTTTTCACATGGATTTAGGATGGACGTAGGCTGGGATCATATTATTTGTCTAAAATGGCCATCAGATTTCTGTGCCGTCAGAAAAACTTTAAGGGTCACGTTGATCCGTATCCACATTTCCACACACAGCGATAATTATGCAACATCATTAGAAACTGTTGCACCCCCCATTTTCCAGATATCTGGCGAATGAGATTTCCTTTTGCTTTTTGACTTAAATTTACGTTCCAGCTTTTTACTTCATCCAGAGCTTCACAGTGTTTCGGTAGTTTTGAAGAACTCATTGCTCTCTTCATTATTTCTGTTTCAACCAATGTGGAGAGAGAAACTTTCTCCCATGAAGAGGCATAATCCCTTTCCACACGCAAGTCATACTTTGCTGCTGGTCTCTTTGTATACTTGAGACTGGCACGGCAATGGATGTAGAAGGCCTTTCTCAAGACACAGAAGGGAAAAACAATTGGTGAGCATGCTCTCTCTTTTCTTGAGGTTAAAAAAGCACACCACAAGTTTCTTATCTGAGCAGCAGGACCAAGTAACTTTAGTGGTTACAGGATTGTGGTGAGACGGGGGAAATTGCCTAGATTCTGCAACACGAAAAAAACATGTGACCATATATGTGGTGGTGCTGACAGGTTTTACACTGCTTAGAGCTTTCTTTTTTCAGGAGTTTAATTACGCAAAAGTGTGGGAGTGCGCTTTGTCTGTATTTGTGTTGTTCCTTTGCACAACAAGGATTTCCCCCCCAAGCCGAAATTAGTTGCATCTCTTTAAGCACAATCATCCTGCTCCCATATCCTGCTTAAAGGCAAATTCAGGTATGAGGAGTTCTACTTAATCTGCTCAAAAAGTGTATAGCCAGTTTTATTCCTTTGGGGTAGGCTGCAGCTCAGCAATCTGATACTCTAACCACTACTCCATGCCTGCTCTCAGTACACAGTCCTGGGGCCGTTGGATAAAAGAACGTTACATTTTAAACAACCCTCTTGCTATGGGAACTTTTTGATAGAGAGTCATTCGGAGCATGAGTCTGGTTATGACATAGCATAGAAAGCTAAACAACAAGAGCATAGAAGTTTGTTTTTATCCTATAGAAAGGAAGTGTCCTTTGAAGCATTAGGTGTGTGATCCTTCATTCAATAGTACTGAGAGCCCCTATTGAAGTGATTGCGTCATCTGGGGAAGCAATGGAAAATGAGACCAATTAAGCAGCCAACCTGTTATTTCCCCACAACACCCAGAACATGTCAGCATTGTTAATTTCGGAGAAATATCTTGGGCACCGAACAAAAAGTGCAAATACCAACATGCTTTATTGGCATGCTAAAATTATCACCTGTGGTGTCAGTCCTGTTGCCTTCTGACTGTGCCTTTAAATCCTTACAACATTGCTGCTGTCTCCCCTTCCTTTAAACAATGTACTAACGTCAGCTAACGTCTATCTATGCAACAGTATAGACAAATAAGATGAAAGTTCCGTGACCAAACTTGTGATAGAGTAACAAATTATTCCAGGCTATTGTAGCTTGAGACCTGGTGCTGATGTTGGACCAGGAAAATGCCCGTCATTGTGCTTAATGTGTATATGGAAGAAATACTTGTATATTGCAAGGACTCCTGGGGGTGCAGCACGTCTTAGTGTGGTCTGTGCGCACAAGATGAACTCCTTGTGAGGGCCAGGGCAGCCCAGTGTCAGGATGGAAGGAAGCTTTTGCCTACAACACAAGTATCAAGAGCAGTGCTTTACTGTTTCACACTACATTTGAGAACATGGTTTTAATGGAGCTAAAGCTTCTCCCTGCCCCCATATTGTCTCATATTGGCGTAGGAAATTGAGAAGATTTGCACTGGAACAAAAAATATTTAGGGAAAGAATCCTGCTTCCTTGTGAGGGCCATTGTTTTGATAACACAGTCATCATAGCCAAGAAGAACTGAGTTCATAAACCATAGAGTTGGAAGGGATCCTTATGGCCATCTAGTCCAGCTCCTGCAATGCAGGAATCTCAACTGGATCACACATGACAAGTGGCCACCCAACATCCACTTAAAAACCTCCAAGGAAGGAGAGCCCACCACCTTTTGTGGCAGTCGGCTCCACTGCCAAACAACTGTATAGCTTCATCCTCTGTTGTGTTTGAGTAGAATGCGATTGAACTTTGGGAACTGCCTTTCAAACAGATACAGATATGTAGATAACATGATGTGTGATAACAATACTCTTGTATTGTCAACCTTCAGAGGTGGCCCTATCGCAAGGGAAAATGAGGCAGTCACCTCCAAGACAGTAAGGCAGCAGAATGGGTGGTAGATTGCTTGAGCACACGGGACACAATCTGTCAGGGAAGTTCTCTCATGCAAGTGCCTCTGAAGGGAATAGGAGCTGGGCAAATTCTGCATGGTTGCTGTTCATCTCATTGATGCCTGCACAAGGCAACTTCCCTCTTCACTGTGCCCTGTATTAAAGAGTGGCTTCTTGGATCAGCCTTAGGTGTTGTAGTGTGGGAGCCTGCCCTTAAAAATATAGCTTGGGTCAAAACAGGGAG